GCTATTTGCAGAGGAACAGTCTGCGAGTTGCAAATTCCCGAGAAAACTTTCATGGACGCAGAAGATGGAGACACAAGATCGTTGAAATTGTCCGTTTATCCTATCGTAGCCGATAAAAACTGGCTCACAGTAGATCGAAGTCGTCAAGTCTTGCGTGGAATATCGCTGAATCAAGGCGATTTTGAGTTTAGACTTGAAGCCAGAGATTCTGCAAATCAGGTATCTTTTCATTGTATCGCTGCAAAATTATTCTCAAAAATCTGTTTCCGATACTTATGAAATGATTTTTAAATTTAACATTGCTATATGTATATATGAGGGAAGAAGCAGAGAATAAAACCATTTTGAAGTTAATTCAAAGTCAATTCAAAATCGCTGAAACGGAATTGTTTTCCTAAATGATTAAACGAAATTGATTTGTTTGCTCAAGGAGACAAATTCTCATCGTATTGATCAAAAACCATGGAATAGTGATCAGTGATCACATTGATTGACCCATACTATTAACCCATCTTTCATCGAATGGTTTCATTCAGATGACTTCGGCCGCGTTTCGTGTATCGGTTGATGAAGTGACCCCGTCGAATCATCTATTCATATTCGATATCCAAAAAAGTTATCAACATTTAACAAAAGACCCCGATACCATGTTGGCATTTGCTACAAAACTAGCACATTCGCTAGGCGATCGTCTGCCAAAAAATATTGTTATCAGGTTCTTTTTTTTGGAAACTTCTCAAAGTCTGTGAGAATCTCGAAATGTTGTCGTTTTATTCTTACTTTGTTGGTGTTTGGATAAGGATTCATAAAGAAATTTAACTGAAATTGTAAAAGTGAGTGATTCTTTCAATGAACTCATTGTAGTTTGATGTATTATAAAAAAAGTACTAATGGAAATGACTAAAATACTAGCTTTTGTCGTCGCATTTACCTGTTTTGTTCAATACATTGTAAATGTTTATTGAAATTGTTAGAATTGAATTGATTTGTTATGAAGGTGTGTATGAACTTAGAGTTTTATTCTGCACAGTAATTGATTTGATTCGATAGAACGAATGTGCATCATTATATAGATTGGTATTTAGCGTTTTGGCCTCATTTATCATCTTTTCCTATCGATAACGATTTTGCACACATTATCCAAAGTCATATCTCGCAGAGTTCATTCGTTGATTGAACATATACGGTTTGTGTCGTGTAAATCAGCGAGAATTTAGACTTATATATCTCCTATTACTATTATTTTTATCGGTTCATTATCTGATCGCCTAGAGTTTAAGCCACTATAAAGTAGTAATTATTTCGTAAAGGCCAAGAATATAATTTGAGCTATTTGACTG